ACTGAAGGATTACACTGATGTAAGACCATATGGGAACAGAAACGAAAGTACTACCATTTAATACTGAAAATCACATTCTGTTATCTAAAGAAAACGTCTTTTTGTTATCATTACGGTATTTGAATCAGTATCAAGTCTATTCGTTACTAATAAGGATGTAACAATAACTCAAATATCGTGATATCGTATCGCCAAAAGTCTCACAGTAGGCCAGTGGGCCATCAAAATATATAGTATTCCAAGTCTCTTTGCTTAAATTCATTGTTTTGGTGCAGCAATGGCTAAAAAAAACCCTGAGTGAACTACATATCCCATGATCCTTTGTCTGTGCAGACTACATGAAAAGTAATACAAATAATCATCATCATTTTTAAACACGTTTAAATCTAATGTATGTATGTATATCGTGAAAATACTGTATCGAGAGATTTGAATATCACTACATCCCTTGTTACTATGGAAATCCAAGTTAAAACTACAGTAGTATTGTGACAACACTACATCATACAGGTTTAAAATGAACACAAGGACCAGTTAAAAACAAAAAAGTCTAAACTGGGATTTTTATTTCACAAGAACTGTACCAGAACATCAAAACCAGAACTTAAACTAGTTGAAACTAAAACCGCAAACCCATTCCAAGCCAGCTCTTTTTGCGCCTCAATAATGGGGGTTGAAAATCTTAAAAACGGATGAAAACAACACAAAAAAATCTTAAGTAAACTGTAATCGTGTTTCACATCAAAACAACCAACCATCTATTTATACAAGTGGTAAGGGAGCAGCGTTCAAAACCTCAAACCTTTTTTTAAAAAAGAAAATTTTAAAAGATGGTAAGGTTTCCAAAATCACAATCACAACCTGCATCATTGATTAAAATCTGTAATCACTGAGCTGTGCACAATGTTAAAAGTCTTTTCTGTTACCATAAATAAACAAAAGCTACATTATTTTTCACAATATATTAAAAGGTGCACTGCGACTTTTCTGGTGGTGGGTCCGTTACCTGCTTGTGTTCATCGAGATGTTATTGCTTCGCTTGGAATGTTCCATGGTATCACATTAAAACATTTCCATCTAGCATTTATTCATTATGAGTGTTTCTGTTGCTCAAAAATACAATAATTCCTCTCTCCACTAGAAATGTTGCGCAGTGCAGCTTTAAATAGTGCCATTATTCAACCCTAAAGACAAAAGCAATGCGTTAATACTGTATGGCAAGTGCGGTTCAACATTTGTGGAGCAGAAGTTTAGAGCTTCCTTTCAAAAACTGAATTTCCCGTTTAGTTAGAAGCCCTATTTTCTATCTGAAAGTTCTAGATCATGAACTCAACCTCAATAAATCACAACGTTTTGAAATATTGATAGATCACTCCGCCGTAGTCAGTCATTCTAAATTCCACTTTTGCATCTCTAGCTCGGCGACTTTGCATGCGAAGAGCCCGTTTGATGAGCCTCCGTACGCGAGCAGAACCTCCTAAATCAGAACAATGCGCGTCCTCCTGGAGCGCCGGAGCGGATCAGAGCGCGCCGTGACGGAACGGAGAGAGGGCCGGGCTTCGGTGGCTGTAGCTGCTGCTGATAAGAGCGCACGGGGCCGGAGATAAAGAGCTGCCTCTGTCACGATGGGCGAAATGATAAAACCCAGAGCTGATCTTATATGGGCGCTGTGCTCTGTACGGAAGGCTGGAAACAACAGTAAGTGATATGCCAGTATGTTTACAAGAGAGGCCAAGCTACTCTCGGCTACAACTGGGACAGAGAGATATGATGACGAAAAATAAACTATTCAACTTGTTGTCAATATTATTTCCCGAACATGAGCATGTTTGTCTCCATGGAGATGTTACTGCTTTGCCTGGATTACTGCACAATATAGAAATACACTTGGTAAATCACAATGGAGACAGGTTCATGGTCAAATCTATGGGAAAACAAGGCTGCACATTGTAAAAATTTGTGTTTTTCGAGGTCTTTTTGAGCTATAAACACTGTTAATTGAATAAATGCAACATAGATGTGTTTAAAGCCCTACTGTGGAACATTCCAGGCAAAGAAACAACAACATGAATGGAGATAAGCCTTTAATGGCCAAATCCATCCAAGCCACAATACACTTTTTTATCCAAATAGACTAAAATAAAAGCATGTTTAACTGAAAATCATGCTTCTTTACTGTGAGCACGCTTGCATCTCCACAGACCAGACTTCGCCTTCTTGTCTCCATGGAAATGCTGTTCGTTTGGCTATTTTGCACAGTATTGTATTTTTATGGAATCATGACGGTGACGTGCCACCTCCAGAAAGTTAAGTGCATAGAAGATGGAGGCCAATATGAAGGAGATGACTTTATTTTCTCCACAGTACACAGCACAGTCTCATCAACTCACACTACAGCAGAACTTTTAGAACTGCCCCAAGCCCACTTCCACTTTCACAGTAAAAGTCAGGGAGTGAGACAGGAAATCAAAACTTTAGTTGAAACTAAAAATTATGACTCCTACACCCTATGCCCTACCATTCATAGCAAAGTCCATTCTTAAAACACACAACTTCTTCAACCGGCTCCTACAGCTCCGCTCAAACAGTGAGAGATACAGGACTACATTCCTACTATAATAGTCCCTACAACTGCACAACACCTCACATTTATGTAACATCCTACTGTCAATCATCATATCATTGTTGCACTGTATTCCTATGACCTCTTGTATAAATCTGTTATTTTTATATTTTATTATTTATACTTATCTTTCCATTGTATTTTTGATTTGTATGTTTGATTTTATTACTCATCCATTTTATTTTTACTTGTACATTTACATTTATATAATTATGTCTTATTTGATACCTGTCTCTTGTTATCTTTTTTTTGCTACTTATTTAGAATTTATTTTACCATTTACTGCATATTTTTTCTCTGAGCTACTGTGTTCAAATAATCTCCCTTGTGGATCAATAAAGTTTGTGAAAGTCTTTATTACCTCATACACTTGAAGCACTCTATATTATTCAATCACACTACCATACACCATTGTACACACAGGTGAGACATGTCAAGCATCTTGCCAAAGACAGCGGCATGATGCGTGTTGGCGCGGGCATCAAGCTACCATCTATACAACAAGTATCATTCATAGGAAAACACAACAGCCACTTCATTCGAGCCATTCATACCAGATGACTTATGGTACTTTAGGTGTAGAAAAACTAAGAAAATGGGCTTTTTGTCAACAGCTATGATTACGGATGTTTAAAAAGGTGCACTGCGTAACATTTCTAGTGGATATACATTAAGAACCTGTTTACACGAGAATGCTTGTGAATAAAAACAACAAAATATTTGATCAGAATTGCCTTTTGTTTAGACGGCACAGGCACTTTTGGGGCTTAAAAACGCAAAAATCTGAAAGCACCCTCCAGAGTGGAAAAGTTGAGTATGCCCCATCGTAGCGTGTCTGTCTACACTGCCAAAGACACAAAACTCTGGTCAGATCTGCTCAGGTTGTGTACTCGTTTACGTCACATACATACAGTACACAGAAACAAACATGGCATGGTTGGATGGCATGCATACCCAGTCGAATTCCACACACTTTTGCGTCACCCTATGCATGCAGATTTCCTCCTGAAAACACTCATCTAAACACGGAATAAAAAGTAAAGACGCGACGCTACTTTTGTGTCTTCTGTTCAGATCGTCATCATATAAATGTAGCCTAAACCGGGTTACAGGATTTACTCTCCGTTACAATTCAGATCTGTGGAGAGTCACCCCTATTTACAGGAGGAATGATTGTATTTTTGAGCAATAGAAAACACCATAATGAATAAATGCTTGATGGATGTGTGGATAATGTCACACCACAGAACATGCAAACAAAGCAATAACATCTCCACGAAGAAAAGCAGGTACGCGAAAAGTTCCACAGTGCATCTTTAAGCAATATCCTCTTATCAGTGGATAGAGCTCATTCATTCCAGGTTTAATTTCACTCCTCTCACCCTTTCGATTCTCAGATACAAATCAATACACGGACACAGGGGACACCAACACAGTCCAGTCTCCCTCTCCAGTTGGATCTGTGCGTTCTTGTGTCTCTGGCTCCCAAACAATTAACCGAGCCGAAGGAGCCGCTTGTGTTTACCCATCACCAAAACCACTATTGACGCTCAGGTAATGGGGAGTCTGTTGGACTGATGAGAGCAGCTTGTGAACGAGACTGTGCCCCATTTTTCAATAGCCAGCACCACACAACAGCAACAACAAAGATAGTATTTCGGAAATCTGATTGCATTAATGTATTTTTGCTATTCCTTAGTCTACAGGAGGAACAATAAATCAATGTGACCCGCTTAAATAGCCTATGCGTACACAAGAAAAGGAGTAGGCTATCCATTCAGAGCTCTGGTTTAGCTTTGAAGCGTCCCTGAAGAGCCTGGACCAAAAGTGCTTGCATATGGATTGAAAAAATGCTTCTTATAATTGGTTGCATAAGGTTTTGTAGCCATAAAACGTGTTAAAGCAGAGTTCTTCAGTTTTGCTAACAAAACGGGAGTGTGCAGGCAATGCATAGGCTAAAAATATGTTAAAATATAAAACATGTGGGAATAGTGAAGTAGAAATTCAACAAATGGTTAAATAGCAGAGGCTCCCTTTGCGCCCGCTCTCCACACTGTTACTATCGCAGAAACACACCTTCAGCAGAGCACACACAGCGTGTACACAGCACACATACAAAGCACAGATTTGGAGAAACGTGTCCAGCTCAAGTTGTACACAGACATGAGTAAGCCTAGCCTACTTTCAAAGTTGCGTAAAGGCAACAGAGCGCCAGACCTGAACGCAGCACAATTAGCTGCCTAGCTCCATTTTCGGAGCCAACAGCCCGCATTCCGACCAGAGGTTTTTCTTTGCCCATACTCGGGAGGTGAGTTCTGGGACCGCACAAACACACATGGAACACACGGGAACATTAGCCAGAGTGGACCGGCCTTACCTTTGTCGACATGCCTGGCCGCCGCGCACTCCGAGTACAGAAAGGTGAGACAGAGGAGACAGAGGAGCCACAGAGCTCCCCGCTCGGCCATCACTTTTCACCAAGAAATCTTTGCAGGCTTCGGGAAATCCAGGAGAAGCTCAAATATAGAAATCCGTACAATCCCAAGCCGCCTCCTGTAAACGAACAAACGAAAAAAAAGTTCACGATCCTACAATCCTCCGGAAACAGGCACTTTGGAACAGACCGGGGGAGACATGCAGCTCCAGAAGAGCCGCAGGTTACACGGACTGTTTGCTCAACTTGGTCGAGGCACGAGTCGGAGAAAATACTCTAATCAATCCATTGGCACAGAGGCGCAGCGCCACCGCGAAGAGGTTTGCGGGCGATTACGCACCAGCGCGCACACTTTACCGCTCCGATACGTGTCCCGCTCTGAAATCACGGCCGAGCTGAGAGGAGAAAAAAGATCCGAGGCGAGCAGAGGGGAAATGTGCGCCGTGGCCAGCTCTCTGCTCACGGACGGGACGTGGAGAGAGAGCGCCCGCCGTGTGAAGGGCTGGATCTGCGGCTCCCCGGAAAACAGGGCGTGGATTCACACGGAACTCCGGATCCTGGAGGAGCGCGGAGGAAAAACACAAAATATGGTGTGGGACCGAAGCCTGAGGACAGGACACGGTGTATGGACCTACACATCATGTTCTTTCATACAGTTTGTGCAGTTTAAATGTCACTTATTGCCTGTTTTTTACATTTTACTAATAATAAACAATGTTGAATAATATAGTTCCTTTTTATGCCATGTATGAAGCAACAAAGAGAGATTTTGTCATGCCAAAGTCTAGTGCGTGTTTATTTTAGACTTTGGGCGGCCTCTATAGTCTCTTCTCTCTGTGCTCCAGCGTTTACACTCTGCTCAGACTCATTCATTTTAGTCACTGTGTTGAATAGTCGTCATTTTAAACAATAGACTCATTGTTTTTTATACATTAGACTAGACTAGTTTTATATTCAAATAGATTCCAAAAAGTACGTAAAACTTTAGTGACATCATGCTGGGGAGTTGTACATGTAGCCTATGTCTGAGGCAGAATATTCAGCAGTTACTATGGTGACACAATGCACACCTTAGCAAACACTGCCAAAAAAAAAGTCTGAAAACTCAAGAAAAAAATACAAAATGGATTTAAATAACAGATTTTCTCATGGTCCTGTTTAGGAGTTTGATTTTCAGCAAAAAAGTGAAAGTGACTCACACTATCTTGCTTGTGACTGTAATAGAATTTGAGAGCGACTTGTTTAACGGCACAAAATCCGAAAATGTAGTTTAATTCAGTTCAAGTCAATTATTTCTAGTCAGATTGTGTTGAAAGAATAAAGAGCCGACATTACACTATATTCAGTGCAAAAAACTAACTCTAGTCACGTTAAGATGACTTGAATTAAGAAAGATTCATCATGATTTGAGTCAGTTTTACTCAACAAGTACAATTATCTGCCAATAGAAAGACTTCTTGTACTTAAAATATGAAAATACATCTTGTTACACTTAAAATAAGAAAAACAACAACTTTTTGCAGTTAAAATAAGAAACAAAATGGAATGTTGCTTGAATTACGAAAAACACACTTATTCCATATTATTTCGTTTGGTCTGTGCTAAATCTTTGAGTTTGTGATACAATTTCTAATATATGGGCCTATTTAAATGTCCTATATTAGGCAAATTTTACTACTTATCTTTACTACTACTACTACTACTTAAGCCAAGTCAGAATGTTGTTACCTCCTCAAAAACAGACCTAAAGTTGTGTTTTGTTTCATTCACACATGTTTAAGTAACCCTGCATTAGTCTGTCTACATCTCCAAATCTCAAAATGCTCTGTTCTGTTCTACATTGTGATGTCATGTAGCTGTAGTTTAAATGAACAGCTTTAACCTTTAGAGCTGAAATTATCCAAATGATTCTAATGAAGGTGTATGGAGTTTAAAAACACAGTGGAAATATGCAGGGCTTGTGTGTTAAATGTGTGAATGAAACAAACCACAACTCCAGGTCTGTTTGTGATGAGGAAACAACATTATACAAACTATAACAAAAACTCAAATATAGACAAGTTAAGATGACTTGAATTTAAGAAAGTTTCATCATGATTTGACTCAATTTCACTTGACAAGTAAAATGATCTGCAGTGCAATAATACTTTTTGGACTTTAAATATGAAAATACATCTTGTTACACTTAAAATAAAAAATGAAATCGAATGTTGCTTGAATTAAGAGAAATACACTTATCCCATTGGTAGATCATTTTACTTCTGAAGTTAAATCTACTCAAATAAAGTCAAAAGTCATTTTTACTTACCTAGATATTGCTTTTTTCCAGTGTTTCAATCTATATGTTATAAGATAATGTTGTTTACTCGTCAAAAACAGAACTGAAGTTGTGTTTTGTTGTTGTTCACATGAGTTTAACACACAAAACGAAGCATAATTATTTAGTTCTTCTCTCAAACGGAAAATACAAGAAGTGCTCCATTGTATTTTTAAACTCCATACACCTTCACTAGAATCATTAGGATCACTTCAAATCTGGAATTATCAATCTTTACTAAACAAAAGGTAAAAAAGGAGCTGTTAACTTGAAAACTACTACTTCATGACATCACAAGGTAGAACAGAGTGTTTTGAATTTCGGAGATGTAGACAGACTCCTAATAAAAAGTTACTCACACATGTGTGAATGAAACAAAACAACTTCAGATGTTTTTGAGGAGGAAACAACATTCTAACATGAGCTCACAAGAGTTAATTTGACTTAATATAATGTAGAAACTGTAAACTACCTTGAGCTTCAGACAGAGCAGAGCCTCCAGTTAGCGTCACACTCCCAGACACATGTTGATGATAACAGCTAGAAGAAGAAGAAGCAGCATGAGGCAGTCTAAGGTTAGTAAGAACTTATAGCTGGAACTTTGCTGTCGCCAATTCCTTATTTGAGAATATGAGCTCTCATCATACTCATGCAGAAGTGAAAGTGTTGGTTTAGATTTTGTGTGTAATTTCTAGAAAAAGTGACTAATTTCTTGAAAAAAAGTGTCTCGAATAACATTAGTCATACCCACCTGTTTAAAACTGTACAACAACTCACCCTTATGTAACAAATAATACTCCCTACAACTGTGCAACAAATAATCCTTATGTAACAAATAATACTCCCTACAACTGTGCAACAAATAATCCTTATGTAAAAAATAATACTCCCTACAACTGTGCAACAACTCACCTTTATGGAACAAATAATACTCCCTACAACTGTGCAACAAATAATCCTTATGTAAAAAATAATACTCCCTACAACTGTGCAACAACTCACCTTTATGGAACAAATAATACTCCCTACAACTGTGCAACAACTCACCCTTATGGAACAAATAATACTCCCTACAACTGTACAACAACTCACGTTTATGTAACGGGTAATACTCCCTACAACTGTGCAACAACTTACAATTATGTAGCAGATAATACTCCCTACAACTGTACTACAACTCATGCTTATGTAAGAAATAATATTCCCTACAACTATACAATAACTCATCTTTATATAATAGATAATACTCCGTACAACTGTACAACAACTTACAATTATGTAATGGATAATATTCCCCTACAACTGTACAACAACTCACTTCTATGTAAATGATGATACTCTCTACAAACGTACAACAACTCACCTTTATGTAACAGGTAATGCTCCCTGCAACTATACAAGTATTATCTTATGTAACAGATAATACTCCTTACAGCTGTACAACTCACCCTTAAGTAAAAGGCAATACTTCCTACAACTGTACAACAACTCACCCTTATGTAACAGATAATACTTGTACAGTTGTAGGGAGTATTATCTTATGTAACAGATAATACTCCCTACAACTGTACAACAACTCACCCTTATTTAACAAATAATACTCCCTACAACTGTACAACAAGTATTATCATATGTAACAGGTAATATTCCCTACACCTGCACAACAACTCACCCTTATGGAACAGATAATACTCCCTACAAATGTACAAATATTATCTTATGTAACAGATAATACTCAATACAACTCCCCCAACTCAATTTCTATTACTTATTTTTCTATTTTATTTTGACTTTACACATACATTTATATAATTATGCCTTATTTGACAACAGTCTTTTGCTATTTTTGCTACTCACTTTTTTATTTTATTATTATTTATTATTAACCTTTCTATTTTTTTCTCTTTTTTACGTCAATCTAAAACAACTATAAAATACTAACATGCTAATACGCTAAGACGCTAGCTTCAAATGTGTACACAAATCCACGTCTTGAACTTCTCTGCACTAAATAATAATTACCTGTCCGTCCGCGTGGAAGAGCCTTGAGGTTTTTGGAGAACGCTGTTTCATATTTCACGTTTTTACATATGAAAGTGGATTAAATTAAGAAAAAAATTAGATAAAATCGATGGAAGTGGGCATGTATGAACTCCAGCAGCACGGGTGTTTTGAATAAGTCAATCACACAAGGCCCTCTCCGACTGTGACGAGCACTCTGCCACTACAGGAAGGATCAAGTACTATTTTGTCACTTAAGTAAAAGTACAGATACAAAAGATAACTCAAGTAAAAGTAAAAGTATCACATGAAATAATCTACTTAAGTAAAAGTATTAAAATACCGGTTTAAATATGTACTTCAAGAGTCAAAAGTGATTCAATAGATTTTTCTTTTTATTATTATTATTATTATTATTATTATTATTTATTTTATTTATTTTTTTTTTTTCTTGCTGTTTTTGTGTTTTGGTTTGCTCAAAGTTGGGATGTTAACTCAAACTAAAAGTGCTAAAAAATAATTAGTGATTTCAGGAGGTCTCAAACTAAACCTGGAACAGTCTTCCTGAACATGTGAGACAGACTCTTCTGTGACGCTGTTTAAATCCAGGCTCAAAATATTTCTGTTTAACTGTGCAAATAACTGAAAGGTTTTCATTCCGCACTCTTCTCTCCAATTTATGTCTCTCTTTTTTAATTTTAATCTTTAGGATTATTTATGTTTTGATTTGTTTTTATTATGATTTTAATGTATTTCTTGTTCTGTAAAGCACTTTGAATTACTTTGTGTACGAATTGTGCTATACAAATAAACTTGCCTTGCCTTGCCTACTTTTACTTTTCAGCCCAGTTAAAAATTTTTGTAGAGTAGAAAGTACAAATACATCCTCTAAAATGTAGTGAAATTAAAGTAAAAAGTATCACTGTAAAATGTACTTGTATAACAGATAATATTCCCTACAACTGTATAACAACTCACTCTTATGTCACAGATAATACTCCACACATTAAACTAAAACGTATCACTGTAAAATGTACTTAAGTAAAGTACAGTAATTTTTTTTTTGCTGTTTTTGTGTTTTTGTGTATTTAGTTTGCTCAAAGTTGGAACGTTAACTCAAATTAAAAGTGAAAA